ATCCTCTGCTGGCACATGAGATGGAAGTATCTCCGCCAGAGAGGATGGGACGTTATGGTTCCACCCCGCGTGTTCTCACTACCCGGATGCCTTTTCAGCCCATTCCCGTATGTCAATACGCGTACCGACTCCCATCAATTGCACCACTGCAGTCTTTAAAGTCAGGCATGAACTTGGGATTCACAGAGAAATTGTCAGGGAGCGGTGTGTTGGCATTGGGAAGAGGAATTATTTTTTAAGTAAAACACCATTATCAGAGATTCCCTTGACAAGGTGATTAATTATTCTAATCAAAATAAGACATGTTAGAAGAAAGTGATAGAATTTTTTAAAAAAAAACTGACTTAGAAATACTACCAGCAGATCTTTGCAAACGGTTCTGAAGTTTGCGGTTAGAGAGACCAGTTATGACAGTATAGAGTAGGAGAGCTTATTTTCCAGTCACTGTGATAAAACATGAGTCTACTAGGATTCCAGCATCTTGGAGAACTGAGCGTAGTTCAAAGAATACATGTTTTTGCATGCCAAGATTCTTGTAGATAATTGATTGGTTGGGATGATTAATAAGCTCATCAATCCAAGCTTCATGACCACTGAGCATGGAAGTGAGGTGTGTTGTTTTGTAAAGTTGTGGAAGCAACTGTTGAATACAGCTCTGAGTGCCAATGCTGCAATATGAGAACATGGCAAAATGAAGTTCCTGTGTGGCAAGAACTTTTTTAATGAAGTGTAATTGTAATAGTTTGTGGGTTTGGGATTGATGATTCACCACGAGAGCTCTTGAAACAGATTGAGGATGGTGCTCAATTGGACTGGAAGTCCTGCGGTATGAGGACATCGCAAGTCAATCGTGATGAAACTAGTTGTAGGTGAACAAAGAAGATGAAAATGTACCAAACAGCAATATGATCAACGGAGCTCAACAGACGTATGTTGACGTCTTTTGGATATCTGTTTGGTAATCTCGATATCCAAATTACAAATATCTCTATGTGCCCCTTCATATAGGGGCAAAACAAAATTTTGTTTTCAGGGCATATAATATGCAAACTTAACAAAGTCCCTTGCCAAAGGCCCGAGCCCCAGCGAGGGACTTACCGCATAAACTGGAATCCTGGCGTGAGAAGTGAGCTGTATTTGCTCCAAATTCTCTACATCTGTTTGATTTTTTTGTCTCTCAATAAACATGTCTTGAAACAAAGAAAGCAGAAAATGGCCAGGGACCATTACATATGTACCAATTGCAACCTCCTTTCTATCTTGCTGGGAAGTTATCTTTTTGAGTAGTTGAAGATCAATTGTTTTGACCGCTTTCTGAGAAATACAGGCTTTGAGCCGGCTTGCCGCTGCTGAAAAATGAAAACAGACCCATTTTTGATTCCCCAGTAGCCCAAGTCCCAGACCAGATTTGGGGGAGGTTGCAATTGGCTCATATGTAATGAATATTTTCCATCATCCTTTTATTTACCTCCGAGACCTGTTTATTTAGGAACAAATCGAAGAATTCAAAGTAGCGTTTTTTGTGCCAATACAGGCTACTTCTCACGCCAGGATTCCGTTTTATGCGGTAAGTCCCTTGCTGGAGCTCGGGCCTTTGGCAAGGGACTTTGTTAAGTTTGTATAATATGCGGAAACAAACCAAACGGGCCCTTAAATAACCAAAAGCATAGGTCATAATAGGGGGTTTCAAGTTGCAGATTTTTACATATTTTTACGCTACAACAACTTGCCTGTTGTTGTAAAATATGGGTAAAATTATTAAAGCGGGAAACCTTTTTAGGTGTCCCAAATTCAAAATACGTTGATTTTACAAAGAATTTTTTTATGGACAACTTGTCCGAATTTATAAATTTTACGCAAAAAACAAATGAACTTGAAACCCCCTTATACATCAGAATCTCAATTGTAGTGACTTGTCCAGCCACACAAGTCTTTAGCACATTCTAATTGTTGTAGTAGATGTAATGAGGTTTGACCCATGGATAAGCGCAGTTAGTGATGAGTGAATCACATACGCTTGACTGCAGAGAAGTCATACTTACGTTGGAACACATTGCGGTTCTTGCAATTGTACGAGCCCACCGTTCCGTCCGTGTCTGTGTGCTCGCACACTTTCCAAGATTCCCAAACAACACATTAGTATTCTGGGGTGTGAATTTGCAGGGAAGCTTCAAGACATTTCACTGAATCCTCTGGATTCCAGGTATCCCGAGTTATCTCAAATTGATGAAAACCCCAGATGAAGTATCTGAGGTGAAGCATGCACAAAGACTGACAGATTTGTCTACCGTCTGCGCGAGAGTCTCCATCGACCGTAATTCCTTGGTCGCAAGCCCATGCTCCACCGCTGTTCATCACTTTTCCGTCCGAGTCAACGCAGTTCCTAGCAGCTGTGTGATGGTCCATTGAATCAAACCGTAAGCGGTCCCTCTGCATCCCCCTTTGATTGAAAACAACAGAAATTTCTCATACCGGGTATCAACTTATCCATCCTCTTACAGTACCCGCAAACATAGGTAGTAAAGTCTTGACCGTTGTCTTTAAATTTATAACAGACTTTAAGCATAAATTTTTGGCAGGGTGTTCAAAGTGTTGGGTCAGTTAACACTATCTGTAAAGATAAGAGCTCATCGATTGAATCTGGAGAAGTGAAGAATTTTGAATTCAGGGGTATTGATTTACTGACAAGCTTTTTGAACGAGGTTTCCATCCACAAAGGTTGGGGCAGACCAACCATAGGTGCAATCTATAGCATTAGCATCTACAAAAATACGTGACCCGAGATGTCTGACAAGCAGAAAAACGAGCGAAAA